AAGGATTCCAGTTTTGAATATGTAAACCACGAACCCTTTAAATACCCTTTAAAAAGTTGTGGACACAATAAAGGATTCCAGTTTTGAATATGTAAACCACGAACCCTTTAAATACCCTTTAAAAAGTTGTGGACACAATAAAGGATTCCAGTTTTGAATATGTAAACCACGAACCCTTTAAATACCTTTTAAATACCCTTTAAGTACCCTTTAAGTACCCTTTAAAAAGCTGTGAACCCAATAAAGGATTCCGGTTTTCTGCCTCCCCTGGGATCCTGATGGCTTATTGACCTTCTCGAGCGGGGTCAGGGCGGGGGGACAGGGGGCCCGTGTCCCCGCCCCGGGGTGGGGGACACCCACCTTTGAACCACTTGGAGTCGTGTTTGACGGTGCGCAGGGTGGGGCTGTCCCCGAGGCTGCGGTAGATGACGGCGTCGATGGCCAGGAAATCCGTCACGGTGGCCGTGAAGAGCATCCCCCCTGCGCGGGAGGGGGGTCAGCGGGGCCGGGGGGGACACACCGAGCCCGCGGTGACACCCCCGGGGCCACCACCGACCTGTGAACAGGGCCACGTTGGCGTGTTTGGGGTCGTAGGGACACCGGGCCATGCCGCTGATGTTGTCCCCGACAGGCTCCAGCGTGTCCATCTGCGGGGGGGGGACACGGGACAGACGTGAGGACACACCCGGGCACGGGGGTGACCCCCGGGGTCCCCGTCCCAGCAGGGAGTTGGCACAGATGGGGTTGAAGTTGTTGGTGCCGCAGCCTCTTCCCGTGGGTGCCCCCCTCCTGCCCTCACCCCAAAGCACCCCAAACCCCCTCTGCCGTGGCTGTCCCCCTCTGGCCTTCACCCCAAAACCCCTCTGCCTTGGGTGTCCCCTCTTTCCCAACCCCAAAGTATCCCAAACCCCCTCTGCCATGGGTGCTCCTTTTTCCTTAACCCCAAAGCACCCCAAATTAAACCCCTCCCTGTGAGTGCCTCCCTTCTGTCTTCACCCCAAAATCCCCTTCCCATATGTGTCCTCCTCATGTCTTCACCCCAAAACCTCTTCCCATGTGTGTCCCCCTCCTGTCGTCACCCCAAAACCCCTCTCCCGTGGGTGCCCCCTTTTTCCTTAACCCCAAAGCACCCCCAAAACCACCTTCCCATGGCTTTCCCTCTCCTGCCATCACCCCAAACCCTCTCTTCCCATGTGTTTCTCTCCTCTGTCTTCACCCCAAAATCCCCTTCCCATCCGTGTCCTCATCATGTCTTCACCCCAAAACCACCCTTCCCATGTGTGTCCTCTTCCGGCCTTCACCCCAAAAACCCCCNTCCCTGTCCCCATCCCCATCCCTGATCACAGCGATCCCATCACTCCCGTTGCTTCCCTTTCTCCCCGCAGGCCCCAGCCCTGGCTGTCCCTGTCCCCAACCCCTCCGTCCCTTCCTGCCTGTCCCCATCCCCGTCCCCTCACCGTGGCTTTGGCACCATGTCCTCGGGCACGGGCGTCCAGATGGACTCGGGCGACTTCTGCTCGCGGAACCGCCCCTCGAACACCGCGGCCACCTGGGCCATGTCGAAGGCGCAGACGGCCGAGCCGGGAATGCTGCGGGGACACGGGATGAGCATCCCAACCCCTCCTGCTTCCCCCACGCCCCCCAAGTCTCCCAGGAACCCCCAAGGGTCTCCGTGAGGGCACCGGAGCCTCCGACCTGTTGGCGGGCGTGGAGAAGACGGCGAGAACCACGGGGCGCCCGTCCAGCTCCAGGATGTCCGTCACGGCCTGGATGACGTTGAAGTAGAAGTGGGAGTCGCCCGGCACGGAGCAGTTGAGCCGGGCCTTGAGGAAGGAGGTCCACTGCTTCTCCAGCACCCGCTGGGAGCCCCCCATGTCGTTCTTGCACACTCGGGCCACCCGCGACACCACCACCTGCGGGGCGGGCACCCGTCATCACCCCGTCCCAACCACCATCTCCACGTCCCCGTCACCACCACGGGCGGGATCACAGCGTGATTCGGGTCGGAAGGGACCTTAAAGACCACCAATTCTAGGTGTCCCACCTTCTCCAGGTAGTTGAACTCCATGGCGATCTCCCGGAAGAAGAAGTAGACGTGGCTCCTCCACTCCACGGCGTGCACGAAGTAGGGCTCTGCGGGCACAGCGGGATTGTTGGATCCCAAACGTTAGATACGAGAAAAGAAAACCCGCTGGGTTTAGACAGAAAAACTCGAGTCACAGAAGCTGGGGCAAAAAAAAAACCCCTTTTTAGTAACTTCATCACTGTGGGTTCTTCCTCCCTCCTCCAGCACAATGGAAGAGACTCCTTGCATGATGTTATCACGTGCCCTGCCCAAGCCAGAGGCCATACCCTGATTGGATCGACCCATGCAGAAGACCCATTGTGTTTTATCTCTCCTTTTGTGTTTACCTGTCCCCTCCGTAAAATTCCCCAAGTTAGAGTGGGTTTCTCCCATGAGGTAATTCCTAAGACCCCCAAGATTTGTCAAACCTGTTTTTTTCCCTTCCCTCGTCTCTGGAAAGTCCCCCAATTGTAATAGAACGAATATGCAAGCCCCCCCGTTGAATATGTAAA